TTCCAAGTGGCTCTTTGAGGGTAACCAAAATGCTTACGTTGCCCGTGGTGAAAATGAGTTTGACATTTTCCTTACAGAATGTTTGTTATATGTCCATCCATCAGTGGTCCAAGGGGCTCTGATTGATCCATTTTAAGATATATTGTAGTCTATTGGACAGGAAGCAATGAAGAAAATGTGGGAGTTTTGCTTTTCTTTTGCTTTGAAAATTTACAGATCTTTGAGTCCAGTGACTTAAACCAGACAGCAGAGGGTTGGCTGGGTATCATTGAAAACAGGTAAGTGATATTGGGCAGCAACCCAAAAATTTTGGACAGTGGCAACAAAAGCAAAAGAAATAGTTGTGAAATGCTCAAATAAAGCACCCGCAGGATCATCTCACAATTAATTAGGTGAACTGGCAACAGGTTAGCAACATGATTGGGTTTAAGAAGAGCATGGCAGAGTCTTTCTAAGGCAAAGATGGGGAGGGGTTCACCACTTTGGGAAAGACTGTGCTGGGAAATAGTGAACCCATAACGCAAGGGACCACGCCCCCCTCTTCCTCTTAGACAAGAACTTGATGGGGCACAGGCAGGCCCGCCATTATTAATTATGGACAGGGGGACAACATTGTGCAAACTGGGCCCCTTATCGACACCCACCCTTAGTTCCAATACAAACACAGGTAATTTCAGAGAAGCTCTTGGCCATTAGCCTTATAGTATCACAGATGGAGTTCCTAACAACCATTTCCAAATACAGTGTTATAAACTCATCCAGGCCACGCTCGCATCTACTGTATACTCAATTACTCAGTATGATAATAAAGCACAAAAGTCAAAATCTTTCACATTAGACTGTGACAGTTTTGTTCCTCCTTTTAACTTAAAACAAGACAAGGAGAGAAAAAATGCAATGATTAGCTCATTAGAGAAAAGAAAAAACAAACATTGAAGAAATGAATGCAAAGCATTAAATCATAATATCCATATATAGTATCATATCATACATAGTGAACAAATAAACATACTTTATCTATCATATTCAATCTTGAGGACTACATTAATCAAAGTATTGGTCAAATTATGTGAAGAATTTTCAGCGGTGTCAGCTGAAATGATGATAGTAATAATATAAACAAGGCTTTGTTGTGTATAGCTTATTGTATTGTAACCATATTTGCAGCTGTATCCTATGACTTGTGATGCGCTGTTGACGAGTGTTTAATTTTCTTGAGATTTCCACAGGGGAACTTGTGGGTATTAGTGATCTTTATTAATAAAAGAGGGGGAAAACTAAATTCAGATGGCAGGTGATGATGCAAAACATAATAGATGCACCTTGCATTGACTTGCACCTCCTCAAAAATGTAACTACACGTCGAGGCGAAATGGACCATAAGCACTGTGACTGGTCGGCTGGGTAGCCTCGCAATGCCTCCGAGCCGACAGGAAGTTCCCCGTGCTTTGAAGTAAATTTTACTAGCGGCCACATCGGCAGCTGTAACGCGGTGGATTAATATATTTGAGCGTCACAACCTGAGCAAAGTTATTCGTTTCACTATCAGCATGTGATCGATTCGGGCAATAACTTTTAAAAAGTCTATAAAAGCCGTAGGTATACAATTTTACCCCCAGTCACGTTAGCGGAGGGCTAAGCCGGAAGTTAGCTTGCTCGGCCGGGAAAAGCGGTGTAATTGCAGAACGACGGAGACGCACAAGTATAAATGCCTTTATAGTATAAATGCTTTTATACATCAGGGCATGTAGCCCTGACGCAGGAGTATAAATCAAGTTTAAAAAGACTGTGGCACCTTTTCTTACCTCAATGAAAAATGTATTAATTTTAATTCAGTGATAAACTCCTGGACTTTAATAGCTCCTGTGTTTCAGCAGATGTTCTGCTCATGTTTAAAACTTTCTGCACAATCAGAATCTCTCCAACCTATCTGTGTTCTCTGACATGTCCAGAGAAGAGTCAGAATATTTCAAGAATAACATCATAATTTAATGAGAACAGTCTACCTTCCCTACTTCCCTGCTGTGCATTAGCCAGTGTTGTTGCTCTGCTGATTTAGCCTGTTGAGGCCGTCTGCAGACACAGAACCGTTTGGGACTGTACTACTGGATGAGAGGAGGAGGCGGATAAATGAAACTTACTGAAAACACTTCTGATCAGGCAGAAATCTCACCACAAATCCATACAAATGTTCACTTCAGCACCTCTGATGAAGTGCAGCTCGCAGTCACAAAGAGAACAAGGCTGCGCCTCAGATTTTAGATGCTTAACTCACAGCGGTGAGTGCCGGTGTCGTAACAGCTGGGCGGAGTTACTCACCCCGAGTTGATATTATCAGTTATACATTTGTTTATCACTGCGTCAGAAAGTGATCAGTTGCATGAGTCTCACGCTTGATGCCTGAGTTGGCAGCTCTGGTGTTATATTATTGAAAGGTTTTAGCAAGCTAAAGCTTTGCTAGTCTGCCTAACTGTTAGCTCCTCACCTTCACCGGTTAGACATACATCGTGCTTCTTCACAGTTTTTTGGGCCAGAAATTTGGCCATTGCCTCTATGATTTTATTTTTCTCTGTGTGTTTTGGCTTCTCTTTTGTGGGCCCCTGACAGGCTGCAGTGTTCGCTCAAAGCGTCTCACAGTCCTGCTTATCTGAATGGCCAAATGTTTCGACCTCACCGTTGTCACAATAACTGTGGGGGGCAGAAGTATGAAATATGTTTTAATGATAATAATACATTTGTTGAGCTGGAGTTTTTTAGGAACTTGGTGGCTTTATCCAGTTTGTTATTAAATTTGTTATCAACCTGAATCGTGTGTCTCTTCATTTCACTCCCATAAAAAAAAGCTATTTTTAGTGGTCAAGCATCTTCTTTTTCGTTATAATCCAATCTTGTTAGGGTTTTGGTTTTATGTTTAGTCTTGTTCTTGCCAGTTATGATTTGTGTTCTGTATTTTCCTGTTCATCCTCATTTATGCCATTCCCCATGTGTGTAGTGTATACAATCACGAGTGACATACAGGAGACATACATTCATACAAAAAGAAAGAGAGGTTCTTGCCAACCATCCCAAACAACATTCCTGTAAACCTGAATCAACCACACAAAGTACATAAAAACACACACAGAGGAATATAAAAAAGAAGTAACTACTAGACAGAAAACTGATTTTGATACAGTGTTGAGGGGATGTGAAAGGACAGGAAGGAACTACCTTTAAAAGCAGCAGTATGGTGTTTTGGTCTTCTACTCTATACAACATTTACTTTTCAAGACTGATCTCGTTTTCACAAATTAAACTATAGAACCATTTTCAGAGAAAGTAAGTACATCTGGTTTGTATTGAGCAACCCAAACTCTAACAAGATCAGTTTTAGGCCTTATACTGTATCAGTTGTCAATCAAAATAATAGTGATGACAGGGTAAAGTGGGGCAGTGGAAGTAATATTACTTCTCCAGTAGCATCACCATTAGGGAGAACTAAAGGCTGCAGGGAGCATCTATGCATCCGGTATCTAAAACTTTCCAGAAAAAACTCCTAATAGTAGATAAATGGATACAAAAAATAATTAATTCATCAATTAAATTTTACCTGACGAGCCCTCACTGTCGCTCTCTACTCTTGGATGGAACTGTAACTTAGATCATTTGTGGTCCTTTCATTGTAAATGCTTTTCTTTTCAATGAGACATGGATTCCAGGAAAGTTCAAAGCTAGATTTGATTGATAGATGCTGTATTTAGATGATTAGCTGATTTGGAACATGAACCAGAGCAGAAGGGGGAGGATTCTCACTAAGTTCTGGCAGTGACGCGTGAGGGACAATCATGTTTTTTTGTCCCTGAGGGGACTTTAACATGAATGTACACTGACTAATGGGGACTGCCCACGGGTACAGATGCCTTTTAAGGTTTAAGACTTGGGTTCAGGTTACAGTTAGGTTAAGATTAGAGGTAGTGTAAGGGTTAATGTTAGTCATGTAGCTGTGATGAGAAAAGGGGGAAACTGTAGCTGAGAGTGTGGGAAGCTGAGTAGAGGAGGTCCAGAGCAGGATCTGGGAATAGTTTTAGACAGGCTTCCAGGGCTGAGAAGACCAGGGGCTAAAGACAGGGGCCAAAGTTACTTCTAATAGCGTGAGTAAAACAATATGTTATTTTATGAAAATGTTTTAACTTGATACTTAATGTTGTTCTTCTACAGTCGGCCTTATTCAGTTATTTAAATGTGTTCACATGTTGTTTGTTTTTTGAAGCCTACAGTTTAATGATTCCTTTAAAAATGTAGGTTTGACTTTTTCAATCTGTGATGAAATAAAGCAAGTGTAAAATCCATAAACCCCATGAATGGCATATTCAATAGTTACTTTGTCAATTTTATTTTATTTTGATAAAGAGACAGGTTTTATATGTAACAAATGTTTATTCCAAATGTCAGAATAAAAACCAACAAGGAAGATAAAATCTGCAGATGGTTCATCAAGTGGAGTAATCAGTCATGTAAACCTCCTCATCTAACCACAGAGGACAGAGGGGCGTTCAACAAGTTGTGGGGCATCGAGTACAGGAGGCAACTATGCGATTGCTACTCTGGTGAAGGCGTGATGTCTCCTACCCGGCCTCTGACTAGCTAAGCCAGACAATAGTGTTTCTCACATAGCCATCGAAGTCTGGCTGCTCCAAATTGTTAAGCTGTAACAATTTCTTCTAAATGCAGTCCATTTGTTTGCATTGTAGTAACCTAGCTGTGGAGAGTGAGAAGAAACATCAACAAGTAAAAATATTTTTTAAGTGGAACAATAAATGCAACAAATGTTGAGGAATGATGATAGAAAGTGAAAGACAGCAGTTTGTGATTTGATATGATTGTGGGTAAACTATAGGTTCACTGTGTTTGTGTGAACTTCACCTCACAGCTTTAGTGATGTCACTGAACAATGTTAGGTAGATATTAAAAACCTGCTCCCTTTAATAACCTGATCTCTCAAACAGGTTTCACTCTGAAGAATGGAAGGTCTCTACTTTAACAGCAGCTCACAGAACCAAAGCTACGATTATAGCAGCACCACCTCCAACCAGCAGGATTACAGGAACTGGTCATTCATCCTGTATGTGGTGACATACACAATCAGTGCTATCGGCCTCCCGTTGACCCTCGTGGCCATCTATGCTCTTTATTCTATGGTATGTACATTCTGACCAGAGCTGGAAAGAGTCAAAATATTCTACTTAAACAAAACAACAATTACTTTGATGAGCATTTACTTAAGGACAAGTAAGGTTACTGATATAAAAATCTACTCAAGTAAAAGTAAAAAGTAGCCATGCTGCTCAGCTTAGATGCACAAAAAGCATTTGACAGAGTAAAGTGGAGCTTCCTTTACCAAACATTAGCAAATTTCGGGTTTCACACAACCTTGATAGACTGGGTGAAAATGATATACAAAAACCCCAAATCACGGATTAGAGTCAATGGGTGTTTCGACTTTTTCCTACTCAAAAGAGGAGTCAGACAGGGAGACTGTCTGAGCCCTTTACTGTTTGCTGCAAGTATAGAACCACTGGCTGAGTCAATAAGACAGAATAAAGATAAAAAATGGAATAAGGGATGAGGGGGGGGGACAGAACACAAAATATCACTATTCGCAGACGATATATTAACATATATAAATGCACCTTCCACCTCATTAATAGCCCTGGTGAATAACCTGAACGAGTATGGGGAGATCTCAGGATATCTGAGGCTAAATCAGTAGCTATGATGCTCTCAGGTCAATGTCCAGCTGATTTAAAGGGGAAATTCAAGTTCAAATGGACTAATATAGGGTTCAGATATCTGGGTATTATTATTACCTCTGCTACGTCACAGCTATTTGAAGCGAACAATGGGAAATTGATAACTGAAATTAAAAAAGAGGTGGAAGATTTTGCCTTTGACTCTGATGGGGAGGATAGAAACTGTGAGAATGAATGTACTACCAAGACTGTTGTTTTTGTTCCAGTCATTGCCTATTATGGTCTCTAACTCTACCTTTAAGATGTTAGACAAGATTATATCCCAAATTATTTGGAAAAAGAATTAAATATAAGACACTTCTTTGTCCAAAAGAGAAGGGAGGGTTAAATTTACCCAATTTAAACAATTACTATTGGGCTGCTCAACTCAGGGCTTTTATTATGTGGATTACTAATGATGCAGATACATTGTGGGTGGGAACGGAACAAAACTCTATAAATGTACCTATAGAGTCGCTTCCATTTTTGAGTGAGGTAACACTAAAGAGGCTGAAGGTGGGCAAAGTCTGGATCAGGGGGACAATGAGAATATGCTCAATGGTACGTAAGAAATTGAAACTGTTAAACACCATTTGTAGAGCCGCTCGAATCTCGACAAACCCAGATTTTTTGCCATCTATGATGGATGCAGGATATAATAGATGGACACAACAGGGGTTAAAATATATTGCACAAATGTTTAGGGGACAAACCCTGAAGTCATTTCAACAGTTAACACAAGAATTTAATTTACCAGCCCATGATTTTTTCTACAACTAAGACATTACCTTAAGACACATAAGGAGTGGGAGAAGATCTCTAACACCCCGTCGAAACTAGAAGAATTGTTAATGGCGTATACAGAGGGAGAAACAAAGAAAGGGATTATATCAAAACTGTATAAGGTACAATTGGAATCTTACAATAACAATTTGGATGTCAAGGAAAAATGGGAATTGGAAGCAAATATTATAATAACAGATGAACAATGGGAAGAAACATTCAAAGCAGAACATAAGGTAACTAGCAGCCCGATGTGGAGGGAGTTTGATTGGAAGATCAAAATGAGGTATTTTCACACTCCATCTATTACATCAAAGTATAGTAATACTTTGGAGAGATGTTGGAGGGGTTGTGGATTGGTAGGGGACTTTACACATATATTTTGGGATTGCCCTAAGATTTTAGACTATTGGAAGAATATTCAAAAGGAAATAGAACATGTTTTGGGTATTGACTTTAATTTAGATCCAGCATTGTACATATTGGGTATAGTCCCAGATAATGCTATAGATAGGAACTTGACTTCCTTACTGAGAATTCTGCTTTTAATAGCAAAGAAAAAAATCACAGCCTCTTGGTTGAAGCCACAGCCTCCCAGTATAACTGAATGGAGAGAAAGAGTAAAAAGTGTGTTCATCATGGAGAAAATCACAGCGAGGTTGCAGCTCAAGTCAGACAGGTTTGATCAAAGATGGTTACCAGTAATAGAGACAATGTCAGAACTCTAGTTACCTCTTTTATTGGTTATTTATTTATTTATTTTCCCCTCAACTTAATTGTAATTTCTACTTACTGCAGTACACTTGACAGTGAAGGTATTTACTTATTGCTACAGGTTACTCAGGTTCTCTCCTTTTAAGACGGAGGAAGGAATGTTTGGGGATAGAAGGCGAGGGCATGATCATAGGTTAGAAGTGAAACTGTCAGCGCATCTCCTAATGTATATGTTGTATATACGCTGTAAAAACTGTTACTTAGATCTAACTTAAAAAGGCAACATTTTCCAACCACTTTTTGTAAGTTTAGCGAACTTCTTGATTTTTTAAGTTGGGAAAACTCAGTAATAAACATTTTAGTGTATGCTAAAATATTAAGAAGAGTCTACAACAAACTGGCAAAAAATTAAGTTCAGCCATTGTCAAAATGGACAGCATTTTAACCACATCAAAATTAATTAAAATAAGTTACATTCAAAAGAAATTTTGAATCAGTTCATGTACTTATTTTCTTTAAATGTAGACCAATTATTTTTTTCTGTTGTAAAAGTGCAATTTACTTAAAATACTTAGTTAGCATTGTCATAAATTTAACAAAGAAAGGACGTATTGGTTTCCAACATTTATTAAAAGCCATTAAATGCAGTTATGCAAAATTAGACCCAATCTTCTGACCACAGCCTATGTGTAGCACCTCTTCTGTGTGTAAACAGTCATCTTGAAGGGACAAATTTTACTATTTCAAAAATTACAGCTAACAGTCTGCCTCAGGCATCATTTGACATCACTGGTAACAGAACAAAAACTCTGCTAGAAGGCAGAAGCTGCAACTGTAGATGTTTTTATACATAGTGAGTTACGGTTTAATATTGTCAGATTTTCCTTTTAAATCTTAATAAAACATTTTACATACTACAACTTGTGACCTCAGCTTACAAACTGCAGCTTGACACAATATTGTGACAGTGTATTTCAGTGACTATTAAAACACTTGATCATAACAGAAAACATATCTGTTTGTGACAGCCAGGGTGACTGTCATGTTTCACTGTCCACGCTTGAAACTTGTTAGTGAAACTAATGACCATGGAGGTTAGTTGAGGACCCAGTGCGGAGTCCCACAAACAATCCTTGAAAGGCCTTCAGGTACAACAGTCTGAAGAATCACACATCAGGCCAAGAAAATGTATAAATTTCCTCAACAGAAACAACAAAACTTCCGTCTGTTTTCAGTGCAAGGCCAACAATCTTTGCGAGAAGCTTGTTGTTGAGGCTTATTAACTTGGCAGTTGGTTTTGGGCGCAGTGCATTGAGTCCCACAGAAAGTCTTCATCAAAAGATTGGATGGATACTGGAGATTCTGGCCAGATTGTCAAGATCTGTAAGCACTGGATTCCCTCGATGATGATGCCCACCGCATCTGGTTAATGGCGAGCATAGGCTAGATCCTCAAACCGCATTTTCAGGTCCTCATGCACGCTGCACTCTGCAGATCCCTGTATGACAAACAAACAAAATTAGGAAACTGTCGCACTTACTAAGGAAAAATAAAAACAGAATGTACAGTATATTCAGATTAAGATAATAATTCAACATCACATCTTCTTTGGAGACCCAAAAAACGCAAATGTGTGCTCAAATCCACACAACACTAAGCAACTTCAATAAATTTAATACAAATAAACTATCACAACCTAAATAATGTTAATATTTTATGTACAGATCTTTAACATAAAAAATCCAATAATTTTTGCTTTGTATGATGTAACAGTGTGTGGCTTTTTCAGACACTTCATACTCTTTCGTCTTTCCCATTTATTTCAAAGTAGGAAAGACCAGTAAAGAACATATTTACTAGTTAGCAACAGCTTATATAAAACACTTTATAGCCTACTGAATGAAAAGCCCAGATGTCCCCCCTTTTCCACCAGCAGTTAAATGCAGCATGTATTCATTGATCTGTGTGGAGCTGGAGACCTGTGTCCCAGTGTCTCATAATTCCTTTCACAAATGTAAGATTATGCATATCTGTCAGGCATACAGATTAAACAATCTGTAAATAAATACACAATAATGTTAAATATTTCCTATATTTGTTCAATTTAAAAATCTGTACATAAAATAAAAATGGGAGAATACACAAAAGTCATTGAGCAGGCAGTATTTTTCAGAAATTTTCCCGGGAAAGGAATTTAAAATAAGTTCTGCATAGGGCTCTACTTCATAATACTTAAAAATGCTGCTAACAATCTCCATGCTGCTGGTTCTCTCAGCCTACACATGACGAATGCTGGTTCAGTCAGCCCACATAAAATCATACTGGTTTAACTTGACCAGTAAAACCAGAAACAGACCCAACCATACTTTTTAACTATACTTACATAGTACTCAGAGATAAGGTCCTGTCCACTCTTTCACATACTCAGTGAGGCATCTTAGAGTCACATCTCTCTTCTTCATTAGAGAGGATCTTGGGTCCTAGAGTTGATGATTGAATAATGAAACATTTAGCAATATCACTCCAAACCTACAACATATTCACTGCTGGTCTGAATTATCTTTTCAATACAATAAAGTTTTAGGACATTTTGTGAAAATTTAAGTACTTTCAGTTAAGTTAATCAAAACCAAAAAAGTGGTAAACTTGAAAGATTAGTCTCATTATTCTTCAGATGATTACCTATGTGTTAGAAAAATATCTTTGACATAATAGGCAGGTGAACGAACGTTACTTGTGATGAGTTATGTCAGTTTACTTCTGGATGCCGTCTTGACAAATGACTGCGGAGGGCCTGAGCATGGGCCGTCTACATGTATACATGACAAGACATGGCTGTGTCTGAAGGTGGGGGAAGGGGATTACTGTAGTAATCTTTACTCATTACCACTGACGGCAACGTCGCCCAGCACGATTGCTCTAAAAGTTGCTCCGTGTATCATCAGCTTAACAGTAACAGCAGCTTCAGCAATTACCTGAAATCATGATTGATTGTTTAGTTGAAGGCAAAGTAAGCTGCAGTCCTCAGCTGAAAATGCACCCACGTGAGTTTGTTGTTCTCCTTTTTGGGCCGAGTTGCAACCTCACAGTCAGGAGTTAACTGGCTGTCGGGAGCTGCACCTTTTAACTCACCTCCAGCTCTCTCTGTAGCTCAGACAATCCCTGCTACCTGCGTGTGCTAATCCATCCTTTCACGCCGCCGCCGCCAAGCAAAAGTACTTCTTATACGACGATACCATTGATGAATCGTTGAAATAATCTAGCAAAGCTTTGAATACTAAAATCATCGTTAGCTGCAGCCCTAGGTATTATTATATCTAGCCTTTTGGAAACAAGCTTAATAAAACTGCTTAAGATTTTTCCTCCAATAAAATGGTTTTGGAATAGTCATTTCTCATAATGATAGTTTGACACAAAAACATGTTTCCCGCCTGAAAACACATCTTTTTAAACTGGCATATAAATGATCATGATCACTGTTCATCAGTGGCCTGTACTACCAAGCAGGGTAACTGGCTTATCCGTAACTTCAGGAGTAACTTCATGATGTCGGGTGTAACCTCCTGGTTTACCCGTACCACAAAAGGTGGATAGGTCTTACCAGAGGTCTGTTGCCATGGCAATTTACGCTGGATCTCTAAACTGCTCCGAGCAGGTTTTGTTCGTGGTTAAATCGAGGTTACCCTGCACGTGGACTAAACACCACATCTGTACTCAGTGTTAATGATGAGAAGTAGGATATTAATACACACCACTTAAATATGTTTAGATTTCAGCCTGATTTGTTCCACTGCGGCTGCGGTGAAGTTCTGAACACAACAACATTACATTCAGACAGCGAGCCCTGCAGCCGAGCTGGGATTTTAGAGAGGAAATCAGACAGGAAACAGAAAACAAATCCAAGATCAAAGTGTGAAATTTACAAGAAGAAAAATCGGAAATTCCCCTGAAATTAATGTCACAAAAAAATCGAAATCTGGTGTTTTCTTCTGAATACGCCCGATCCAAGGCAAAGTCTCTGAGGTGCATGATAGTGATTGTGGGCTAAACTCAGGAGTTTTTCCTCTCTGCTAAATCTGATTGCAAAGTTTAATATAACTTTCCAATGCATGTATAATACACTGCAGACATGTGTGTGTGTGATGTTGCAGCCTTGCAAAGGCTTTTTTGCGAAAAAACTGCCTGCACGGCCAAACACGCCCCTTTTATGCGAACATGCACCAACTCCAATTAAGTTAACACGGGGTTAACACCAACGCAACTAACCATCCTAACATCTTATCCACCTTCGTAGTACCGTTTAACTCCAGTGTAGGTGATCAGAGTTTGTCAACCCTGAGTTTGCCCGATAACCCCGAGTTAACTCTGAGTAGGTTGAACTCCCTTCGCAGTGCAGGTCACAACAAACTTTTGTGTCCAGTTGTTTATCAACCCTGATTGTAAGCACTGCAATTAAAATTGCTGTTAGTTTTATAAATTTATTTCTAGACTGTTTGAAGATGTTTTGTGAGGTGACCTTGAGGTGCCTGTAAATAAAATGTATTATTATTATTATTTGGGCAGAGCAAGATGACAGATTTGGGAGGAGGTGGACTTCACAACATGTTTCCAACTGATTGTTGACTTTTACCAATGTTTTCCTGCAGGTGAGAAGAGATCATGTTGCTCCCATCTACGTCATCAACCTTCTCATTACCGACCTGATTCAGCTCTGCTTCATGATCGTTCAGGTGGTACCAAATGTGGATTGGACGATATATCTCATCTTCGTATATATTTACTTCTCTGCTCTGATTGCCAGTGTTGGCTTCATGGTCTGCATCGCCCTGGAAAGGTATCTATCTGTCTATCCAGTATGTGTGGAGCTCCTTCTGTGTCTGAACATTATATTAGTTTATAACTCTGAAGCTCCTCAAAGACTTTGTGTCCATCTTGTATTACAGGTATTTGGTCATCGCCCACCCACTGTGGTACCGCTTCAGACGAACCATCAAGACCTCTGTGGTGGTCTGTGTCCTGGTCTGGGTCCTTTCTCCTGTCTGTGTTGTCCTTTTCTTTAATCTGGTCCAAGCAATAATCTACTTTGTCCTCCTCCTTCCCTTCCCACTGTTAATCTTCTTCCTGGTTGGGACCATCAAAGCCCTGTCTGCTTCCATCTCGGTCCACTCTGATGAAAAACGACGAATTGTGGGAGTTTTGGTTCTGGTGCTGCTTATTTACACCGTGCTGTTCCTGCCCTTCATGATTTGGTTCTTGAAAGTATACACTGACATTAACCAATTGGTAGAATTTAGACTCAACCTTCTGTCCCACATGTTTCTTAGGTTCAGTCCTCTTGCAGACTTGTTCCTGTATGTCTTCATGAGGAAAGGGTTCATAGACAAGCTTTTGGCCTCTGTGTGTTGCTGCAGAATGGACAGCAATGATATCAGCAGGTCATCAGTATGAATGATGACAACATTTCCACAGTCAGCTTCATGTAGGCAGAGAAAGAGGGAGAGAGAGAAAGGGGAGGAAACAGGAGGAGAAATGGAGGCCAATAGAAAGGATAGAGACGAGACAGATCCTGTCATCTACTGAGACCATTTCCAATAAGACACCTAACTGTAGAGAACAGGAAGCACTGTTTGGACTCTGCTGTGGGAGAAGTGGCTGCTGGGAAATGTTTTGGTCAACTTGCTCTGGTTCACTGTGATGGCTTCAACACATGGAAATAAAATGTGTTTTATTAGTTTGGAGCTGGAAGTTGATGTCTGTCATTATTCTCCTTTAATCCCAGAAGCAAAGCAGATATTATTTTAGATGAACTGAGCTCATTCTAACCACCTCGCTGTCTTCTTCCTAAATCTTTATTTGGACTGTTGTTTGGATGTTTAATACAGGGAGAGCATCTCAACGCGTCTTTAGCACTTTTTATATTTTAGTTTCTCATACATGTTTTAATGTAGTTGTTTTTTAATGTATGCTTTCCCAAAACTGTGTTCGCAAAGCATTTTATTTTTTGGACAAATAAGGAAAAAAATCCATTCCATTGTTTGTTTCATTTTATTCGATCTAATCATGCTGCTGTTTAGGATGGGATTCAGAGCAGCTGTTTTGCAGCAACTGTTGTGTTTTTGGCAATCTGGATAAAATCTTAAACCACAGTTTATGTCAGTTTCTATGAAATTGTACATTTTCTGGAAATCCAATAAAAACTTCTAAGTTTTGCTCTTGAGTCTGATCAATTTTCGGTTTGACGTTCTCTTAACTCAACCAAAGTTGAAAACCAAACCAAAGTTACGACCCCCTGTTGGTCTAGGGGAGTGGGGGCCATAAACATATAGGCACAACTGGTACAGATCTTAACAAGGTAACTTTTATTGGTAACAGAGATGTAGACAGGTAACAAAAAAACAAAAGGAGGGTGGACGCGGGTGCTGCAAAAATAACAAACCAAGTTAAAATAAAAAGGTCCTCAAAAGGAGGCCTGTACCTATCTATCGATTTAAGCAGAGTTGTTTCTTGCTACAAAAGAACACAAAGAGCACAACACCCACTCCACCTGGTGAAAACACAATAGTAAACAAAACACTAAGTGAATTTCTCCACTGCACCCAATGTGGAGCTAACAAACAAAGGTATGCAAATGTTTCCCTAAACACAATGTACAGCTAATAAGCAAGGAAGGTGGATAGTTCCACTAAACACAGAGTACAACTAACAGACAGGCTATGCAGTCAATACCAGCAGCACACAAGTCAACAGGCGGTGACAAGCTGCCTGGACCAACAGGTGGACTCTCCTTATGAGCCGGAGGTAATTAACGTGGTGATGAGCCATTGGTTGAGTGGAAACAGAGGGAACCAATGGGCGAGACAGATGTCAGCAACCCAGAAACCAGGAAGTAGGCGGGTCTTCATTCCCCAGGGACACAGCCTACTTGGTAGAGGTGAGACATGAAAAAGGGGAAACACAAAGGTGACAGTGACAGCCGTGACACTTCTGTTTAAGTTGTAATAAATTATAATTTCACACTGTAACTTATGGTTCTTCATATTGATCAATTAGTATCAATAACTCCACATCTAAATTGTAAATAATTACAGATGCAATGTCTACATTAAAATTTTGATAAATTTTTCTCAAAACATGTAAAAAAAAACAGACAATTTACAGGAAATTATAGTTTCTGGTACTATGTCGAAGTCCTCAGCAGCGTGGAACGGGCTCGATGCCACAGACGGATATGAGCCTGGACTGAGGGGACTGCAATGTCCTTCTCCTGGGAATGAAACAGAGGAGGCTGATATCCGTAAATACACTGGAAGGGCTCTACAGCGCTCTCCACCTGACGGGAAACAGACACGGGTGTGGCAGAAACAAACAGCTAGCATGACAGGTAGCGCTTCAGCTAATGATCCTTGAGGTGGCCCAGTCCATATTGGGGTAATGGCCAGAACTAGTGGCACAAAGGGGAAACTAATCAGCTCAGCTAAATGTAGTAATAACAAAAGAATCTGTTGGATGTGGTTACCAGATAACTGTAGCTCGACTGGGCAGGTGCGAGCAACAACCAGGGCCAATAATTTACCATCTAGAGCATTAGTTTAGTGGCGTATCTAGCAGTTCAGTGGGGATTCTCAGCTGCTCTGCCAACACTTCATCTAAGAAACTCTCTTCTGCTCCAGAGTCAATAAGAGCTAAAAGTCTGCTGGACTGATCGTGGTAAGTGAGTGTAGCGTGAGACTCGTGACGGTGATCAGTGCTGGTGGCTCCGGAAGGACTGACGGTCTGCCGGTGGGCAGGCAAGCAGCGTGAGACGACGAGGGTGTGATCCCCAAAGAAACAGGCAGGGTAACCTCTCGGGTTGGCGTCTTTCCAGGCTAGGAAAAACCAGAGAACAGAGAAGGTTAACCAGCGGCTAACAGGAAACACGAGATGAACGGTCAGAAAATACAAAGTTACCACGAGGCTGGATGCTGGCTCGAGACGCACTGAACTCAACATAACAATCCGGCAAAGACCGAGGAGAACTGCTGGGCTTATCAAGCAGCACATATAGGCATGATGAGAATCCGGTGTGCCAGACAGGCGTGTGAACCAGCCCCATGCGTCACCACATGTCACGCCTCCTGCCAAGGTAGAAAAGGTAGAGCAGCAAGGAAGAGAGAGAGAGAAAAAAACTAAAACACACCAGCCAGGATCACACACTCAGAAAGAGAAAGTAACAGAACACACACACAGCCTAGTCAAAGCTGGATGTTGTGACAACAGCAACGATAATACAGAACAATATTAGTAAAACGAGGCATATAATAAACTGCAATCCTCTCACACCTTTTTATCTTGAATTTAAAGATACAGTAAAACTCAGATGCAGAGTTAGGACATACAACAGCTTTGGTTCTATCTTATAACAATTCACTCTTAGCACAACTAGCACTGTGGTTATTTAAAACTATAGGGAACAGTTGAAAACACAGTTACACTTGTTGAACTGGATGATATCCGTTAAGTAAAACATTATATCATGATAATTCCAACCTGTTTGATTTTGAGTTTGTGTTATTTTTTTGTTCTTTTTTGTCTAAACTGAGAACAAGTTGCGACTACAAAAATTTCTGTAAAACTTAAAATACTTTTTTATGACAAAATAATATAAGTTGGCGTTATTAGAGTGTGCTGTGTGTTTCCCCTTTATGAAGTGTAGCTCATTATTAGCTGAGATCCAACAATAACAAGCAGATTTCTTTAAATACCTCGGCTTTCACACTGGAAACTGCATAAAAGATAAGATAAACTGATAAAAGTCAGTGCTGTTCTAACTTTGTTTTTTTTTTAAGCAAAAAAACAAAGCACTGTGTAGTTTAGCAGCAAGATGGACATAATGGCTGCAGACAGGCTTTGTGCTCACATCCCACCCCACACTTTTAAAATAGCTGCTCCAAATAGCTGCTTTGTGTGACCGCTTATCCTGATCCTGATTGTTAGAGTTAGTGAAGCCAGATACCGAAAAGATATCCTGGTTATGTTAAACATGCTTCATGGTACAGGCCCCAGGAAAGCCTCAAACTGAGCTAAAGTCAGCTGAAACATTTAGTCTAATAAATCAAAGGACACCGTTATCATATTCTGAGTTATTAAATAATGAATACTTAATCAGAATATCAGTAAATACAGATGCAGCTATTGAATAAATAATAAAAACTCATTCTGCCAATCTGAGCAGGCCTACCTACGCTTTGAGAAAGCCTGGCAAAGCATCAGCAGCCTGTTTGACGCCCTGAGATGAGAACCAGCTCAGTATAAATACAGAATGCAGGTTGGTCTTCATGTGCAGGTGTTTGTTAAACAGCTACAGAGAGAAAACTTGCAGCTCTGCAGGGAGAACTGAGTCTTAGTATCAGCACAGATCACATGTGTGCAGATACAAACTCCATCAAGAGTCTCTCCAGCTGTTAGAGCTGAGATCAGCTGATCCAGCTTCTTCTTCTGATTTAATTGGCAACCAGGTGCATTACCTCCACCGATCAGATGATTGGCAGACTAAATATGTTCATTTCTTCAGATATTTAATGCTGATATTCCCCATGTCTTATTTCCAAGGAGGTTCTCTGCAGTGAACCTAAGGCCCGGGCTTTCTGCTGCAGCATTCCCCTCCCATCCAAACCTCAATGACACTGTCATTGTGCAGCTCTCTTCTAAGATGGCTTGAGGGGGGTGAGAGCTACAGCACCCCTGAACATTAACCCAGTATGTTAACATTATTTTTGATCTTTTTCTCCTTAGTGCCTCCGTGGCAGCCACTGGAGAGCTCTTCAATCCTCCACTGTACGTCCTTACCCCGTCCAGACCTGTGGCGCCTCTACAAAAGCTTTCTGAAACCTGAGGGGTTTCTGGAAACCTTCCACCTTTATTTCTCAGCCTCCGTAGAAGATGAAACATGAAATAAAAACCATTGAAGAGCTTATACCTTTGGCTTTGAACAGTTTGCATTTGCCCCCTGTATTCAGTTACTTTTTAAAAAAGAAAGTTGAAATAAATGAATACATTTGTACAAATTTTAGTTATTTCTTTACAAATGGCAACATATTCAGAATCAGAAACACAATGAGGTTTTATTGCCAGGTACATTTTCACAAATGAGGAATTCGCCTTGGTACGATTGTTGCTTACATTGTTACACATGAACATAAATATAGAAATATAAATACAGAAAAAGTGAAGAGTTTAAAAATGTAGCACGACCTACACAAAATAATACAATAATACTATAGTAATAATACAAATAATATACAGCATTATTAACAAGGAATGGATGAAGGAATGTGCAAAATTTTGTTGTTGTTGTTATTATTATTAGCTACAGATCTTTGCAAACCTGTGTGAAAAAGCTCCTTCTTTTTGCCAATAGTCCACAGTGACTCTCAGAAGGTTCTCACTTCTTTCACCAACAGCTGTCCACTTCCTGCAGGACGGAGTCTCACTTGGCTTGCAGGTCTGGATCTTTTAATTGTTGTTGATTTGGTCCTCAAAGTAACTGCTGTAATCGGCAGAAATGTCGCTCAGCTCATCAGCCTTCATCTCTGTCTGCAGCGCAGCTTTGGAAACTTTTTTTCCTCACAGAGGCTAAAAACATTTTAAGAATACAAATCCCATTATGCATTTCATCAGTCATGTGTGCACTAAAACACGCACCGGGTCGCATCCGGCCTGGTGGGTCAATGCCTGCGACTGGTGGGCTGGTCCGGCTGGATCAGAAACGGACTTTGCATCACGTGACGCTTCGGAGGAGAGGACCACTCACTGTCTAAAACCATATTTCCTCTGTCCTTCCTCTTCACGTGGAAAAGACTCCAGCGAGGGAAACGTGGCTGCAGTTTAGAGAATTGAGGAGCAGCCAGTGTGTCAGACTACTTTCAGTATTGGGAGGAGATCCGAGCGGCCCCACCCATCTCACACTGATCCTTGTTTTACCGAAATCTGATCTGAGCCCATCCAAGGAGTTTCCTTTCCATCAGAAAGCTGGGTAGGTAATCATATTTTACATATATTAGAAACTGGATTATTGTTAGTCATAATTATTTCTGATGCTGCTCTCATGCTTATGTACAATCAGTCCAAGCCAGGGCTGGACTGGGACAAAAAATCGGCCCTGGCATTTTTGACCCAGGCGGCCCACCGAAATCGGTCGGACATCCGTCACCAATACTCCATCCATTAGGGGGCTGACAAAACTGATAAGCTGTTGACGATGGATGGAGATTTCAGGTTAAAAGCTGAACATTTACATTCTCCACATGCTGTCATGACACACATCAATTTTCTCACACAGTGAAAAACAAATGTATGAGTGATCAACACGCTGTGATAGTGTTGTGAGTCTGACAGTTGTGACAGTTATAACTAACTGCTAAAACTGTTAGTTGCAATATAAACATCTAAAATCTAAAGTGCAGACTTGCTAATAATAATAATAATAATAATAATAATAATATAATATAATAATAATAATAATAATAATAATACAATAAAATAATAATAATAATAATACATAATAATAATAATATAATAATAATATAACAACAACAATAATAATAATTATAATAATAAGCAGCGCTGCTATAATAAGCTAAAGTGATGTCACAGGCAATTTAATACTGCATTGCATTTAAACAGCACTTTTCATACACAGAAAGCCATAACAGTAGCCTACTGGTCCTACCAGGCTGGGCACGCAGCCAAAATATGTATCCGCCCTTTATAACGCACAGATGATGGCCTACTATCAAGTGTATACTTCACATGAATAATGAATGCTCTAAATTTAGCCCTTGTTGTGGTAGGACGTATTGCTGACGTACTGCGGTAAGCGTGTCGACTCATTTCCGTTCCCGGTGCTTGTGTGCTGGTACCGTGTTGTGCTGCTCTCGCTAAATAACAGTTACATTTGTTTGATTACAGCGGCCAACTGTTCGCTAAACACTTATTCTTTACAGTAATTTTGCCTAAGCACTCACAGTTCTTTCCATCTTTTAGTGACTGCTGTTCAATCTCATACTTGTTCTAAAGTTTTGGTAGCTGACGCTACAGTACTTTAGCTTAGCCGTTAGCGACTTTAGCTTAGCAGCTAGCGATGGCTTCTCCTTCTCCCTCTCTCTCTCCTACTTTCTCCTGCTCGGTGTGTCAGATGTTCAGTTACTCCTCTGCCTCCTTTAGCGGTAATGGTACGTGTAATAAGTGTAGTTTATTTATAGACATGGAGGTGAGGCTCAGTGATTTAGATCTCCTGTGCAGCCAGGAAAGGGGGGGGGCTGGGTGACTGTCCGAAGGAGGAATAGTCGTAAGCATTCAAAGTCCACGGGGCATCATCAACCTGTTCACGTTTCTAACAGATTTTCCCCACTCAGCGACACACCCGCTGA